ATCTGGGCTTTACCAGGGACTGATCATTTTGTGCGGCAAACCCTTCTTTCTGCAACTCCTTGCCAATATAAGTCTTAAAGGCAGCAGAAATAGCTTCTGCTGCACTATTCCATGCACACACTCTGATACCTATTTTGGCTTGCTGCCTTGTGCTCAAAATGTTTATTAGTTGTTTATTTTGTAAAGTAGCAACATCTTCAACCCAGGATGATTTACCTTCAGATAAATATGTCATCTGATGTAGCAAGTAAATGCCCCTGCTGTTTTCTCTCCCGGGTACTCTAGATTAAAGAGTGAGAGATCTCTTCTGCATAAAATGAAAAGCAAAATGGACAGTTCCTTTCATCTCAGTTACCATGGTAGTCTTGCATCAGTGCTCTCCCGCCCAGTGTTTTAAATCTTCACCATCACCAGTATCATTAAGTTTGATTTGATCTGATTTGAGCAAATGTCAGAAACATAGTCATCATCTGGAAGCAAGGAGAGATGTGAGCAAGAGGTCAAATTCCAGGCTGGTTGGCCTGGGGGGGGGGGAGAGGGAGAGGGGGGAGAGAGATTATTATTGCCCGCCCTTCACCAGTGGATGCCACGTCAGGTTACAATACTGCAATTCAAACAGTTAACGTATGCATGTATGTATTAAATTTATATCTCACCCTTTCTTCCAAAGGAGCCCAAAGGAAAGGAGCCTATGTCTTTGCAACATGCTATTGATGCAATAATAGTGCATTAGTGGTGTATTTATACCGGGCTGCCCACGTACCATTCTGATTTATTGGTTGTTCTTCAGTGTTTCTCCAATATTACTACATTATAGCCATCTGGAACAGCACAGTTGTGCTGTAGCGCAGCAAAAATGTGATCACTCCACCCACACACCCAGAAAACATTGGTGGTGTGGAAAGTTGTGGAATTTTAGCAGGAAGTTTCAGGGTATGCAGTGACGGGAAACAAAGCTGTATGTCTGCCTGGAAACTTTTGCAGGTGTGAACTGTATTGAAAGTGGGATTATGTATAACCATCCCAATAGCATCATGAACAAAACATGATCATGAACGCACAATAAAAAGGACATCTGTAGGGTTCCTAAATCAGACAACCTGTTCTGTCTCATGGGTTCCTGAAGTGAGGTGGGTGTCATGGGTGACTGGTGTTATAGGATTCATCTCTTCACTTTGGGTTGATTTTATTTTTTTTCTTTTGAGTTCAACTTTGCCCTAGCAAATTCTTGTTATTCACCTTAACTTACTTTATTCCTTAACCTCTCTAATCTTGGTTTCTGTTGCTGTCAGCACAAAGGAAGAAGGTGCTCACCTTTATCTGGGTGTTTCTCCAGCAGGATTAAGCTCAGGCAATATATGCTTTGATATGGATGGAGTGAGTGGAAGAGCAAGAGAAATGGGTTTTGGAAACAAGAAAGGGATGTTTTTGTAGTTCAAAGATAGTCGTCATGGAGCTGGGGAACACTCACTCAAAAGCGAAAGAAATTTAAACACAACCTATTGTTTAAAATGCTGGGGAAGAATCCTAATAGTATGTCTAGTTTATAGCCTGCAATGTAGGCTATAAACTAGACATACAAATGTTCTTCCTAAGTTAAGTATTCTTGATGAGAATTTAAGGCACAAATGGAAGACTGTGTGCCCATAGGCTGCAGAAGGGATGTCTAGAACTGTTCCTCACTTGACTCTTGGACAGCCTTTTTAATGTCTATAGCTGTGTTCATGGATCCTTTGGAAAGGATGCCTATAGCTAAACATTTATATGAGTTTGCAGTGCACAGGAGAAGGGGCTGCTTTCTTTGCAACATACCTGGTGCTGGCTCAGCCATTGCCTCTGCTGCATATTCCAGGTAGGCTATGTCCCTCTCTTTTTCTCGGTGCTATTTGAATGAACATATTCCATAAGACTGGAAGAGGGTTCCTACTATCACAAGTAATGCATATTCACACCAGCCATGTCAGGTAGTTTAATAGTAATTTGCTTGGCCAGAAGAACCCTTGGAACTGGGTCTGGCATCCTCACTGCTACTGGTGCCATCTATCTTAATATCTTTGCAATGTCCCCCAGGCTTTGAAGCAGTGTTGATCTCAAGCAGAGTTTGGTCAACAGTGGCCTTTCAGATGTTAGATTCTAGCTCTAGCATGCCCAGTGGTTGGAGGTGATGGAAGCTGGAGTCCAGCAACATCTGAAGGGCCACAGATTCCCCGGCGATACAGTGCAGTACCCCAAATGCATTGAGGAGAGAGTTAAAACGGTGGGCACAAGTCACAGCTGCCAATGCTCCAATGGTGAAAGCAGTGCTGCTGGGCCTGAGTGTCTGTGATCAGCTGCAGAATAGGCAGTGGGCTCTCCAGGGCTGATGACCCAACAGTCTACCTCCGGATGCCAGGGCATTCTTGGCACTCTTATCAAACTACACTTCCTAAGATGCTTTGGAGGAAACCATTATAGTTACTGATATTATTGTTGTTATTGTTATTATTATTTGAATTTATATACCGCCCTATACCCGGGGGTCTCAGGGTGGTTCACAAAATAAAATATTGAAACAGAGGATTTTTTAAATAAATAAAAAATCAAAACATAATAAAATCTGAGAAATAATAAACCAGAAAGTATGTCCGTTACTTCAAGAGAAGGAATGTCTGTCAGGAAGAGTGAGGGAGGGGTACAGAGCATTGTAGCCTAGGATAAATGGGTGGGTCATGTGGCTTCTTCAGTATAGTTAATTTTCGTGAAGTTTTCTGAGCATGAGCAACCATATAGCCACTCTTTGCCCTCACCAGAACCCCCCACCCCAATCATTCTGCTTGTACAAACTTCACACACACACACACTCACACACTACATACGCCACATTTCTGTTATAAATTCATAGAAAATCAACCATACATCGGATTTGCACTGTTCCATTTTTATTTTACTCCATATGACAAAACTAACAAAGGGGGTGACTTATTCCTGGTCAGCCATAATCCCTCCACCATCTCAGCACATCTCAGCACATCTGCAGGAGCCCTGCCCAGATGATCCCAGACAGAAGACAATCAAAATCACAAAGAACTTGCATATGGGAGTGGATTCAGCATGGACTGAAACAAAGGACAATGATCAGATCTTCCCTCAGGGGGCAGGAAACTGCAAACTCCCCTTTGTCTCCTGGAAGTGACTCATGGGGTGGGGGGAAAGGAGGAACCAGCCAGGTGACAAGACACTCAGGTTACCACCAACTCCTCCCTCAACCCCTCCTTTCTGTAATATATGCATGATGTTTCTGGGGGTGGGCTGATCTAGAGGAGGGGAATTTCAAAAGTTTTTATAAGACTGGCACACATTTTTCTGGGTCTTTCCTCTCTCCTGCAAGTGAGGGGAACACCCTGATGCATCAGTTCAATAAAGGCCAAGCCTACAGGCTGCTGTTTTGCTCCAAGTTATCCTGGTTGGTGTCTTTGTTTTTGTCCAAGGGAGCCCTCAGATTTTTTCCGTTAACAGTTGGCAACCACGAAGGGACACTTGGTTCTCCTGCAAAGGTGAGAGGGAGATAGAGGGGATCAGGCGCCACTGGGCAACCTTAGCCCAGGGATCCTTCTTCCTCTCCCTGCCTCCTCTTTGCGGGCGGTAATCAATCGTCACCAAAAAGCCCAACCAGGGGAAGCAAAGGCAAGGTCAAGCCGGCTAAGGGAAAGGATCCCGGGATCCACGGGGGACATCTTCGAACGTGAGTATGGTTTGAAGTAAATACATTGGGAGGGGGGTGGAAAGTAACGTCCCCACGACAGCCAGACTTTCCTTCTTTCATTTCTGACGTTACCCCTCGGGGTCGGCCGGGAACGTTTTAAGCTCTCTCCTTTTCTCCCCCGATTTTCCCCTTCGGAAAGTGGCCAGGGAAATCGCGAACTTTACTGTCTGGCGTTACCTTTCGGAGTCGTCTAGGAACGTCAAATCCCTTCCCTTTCTCT